CAGAATCCCCAGAGAAGACTATGGCTTCTATTCCGGTTTTGATGCCAACCTCTGACTCACTCCCCTGTCCCAAAGTGCCTGAATAAAATTTGCCTGAAATATCATTAATGAATTAATCAAGGAGGCGATAAAAAAAAAAGTCCTGTGGATTCCCCTTTCCTGAACAAAGAGGGAGCCTTGTTTATTAATCTGAATTAGAATAGGAATGATGTATTTTACACGGACCTGTGAAGGCATGATGGAAAGAACCAGGAGGCCATCCTCAAAGCAGAGAAGTCTGTGTCTACACCATGTGTTGTTAGACAGCATTTATAAATGGAATTGAGAAATGTCTGTCCTTCCCTGCCCCCCTCTGCCCATCAAGTCAGGACTCAAATCAGGAAGGAGTCTTCAACATTTAGAGTGAACATCACCAAAAAAACCTCAGAAATATAGCCTGAAGGGTTTTTTTAGTCCTGGCTTTGTCACAGATCTGTTCAGCAGCTTCCATTTATTTTCTGTGTGTGATACTGTAGCACTTGCTAATGATTTAAAAAGCTACGTTTCTAACCCAGGGTCTCTCCAGAAAGGTTTTAATGCATTGCTTCATTTACTACTTTATTTGAAAACTATTCAGTCTAGGCTACGCCACCAACTAGCTTAGTGGCCTTGGGCAAGACAATCTCCCTTGACCTCAGTCTGTTCAATCTCTAGCTCCTGTCTGTCCTTCCTTTAGAATATAAACTAATGGAGACCAAAGTTCATAGTTTTTATTTATCTGTTCAGTCAAGTGTTAATCTCAAACATTTTGATAAAACTTCAGGTTTTGAAAAACAAATTTCAGAAACAAACATTTCTCCAAACAGGATATGAAAATGGGCTCAGCCACTTGCGGTCACTCTAGTTACGCATATTTCCATAATCATTCACTCTTTCATTCAACAAACATGCTAAACTCAGTGGGGAAAGCGAATGTGTTTAAAACACTGACTGTGCCCTCAAAAAGTGGACAATCTGGTGGGTCTAGTTGGAGTGTGAGGGCCACTGTATGTGGCTGTAAAGCAGGATCTAATAAATGTCACCGGAGAAGAACAAAATGCCAGGGAGACTGAGAAGAGAAAGAGACTGAACTGTGTGGTGGGATTAGGGAAACAGAAGAAAAAGGCTATCAGGAATCAAGTGTATTTCGTCAACTAAATGTGATCCTTGAAATGTCCTTGACTTCTCTTATGGGCCATTTTTTTAAACTGTAATCTCACCTCTGACATGTATTTCGTCAACTAAATGTG